AGTTTATTTTGAACTTAAATATAATGTCGAGGGTGGTACGTTGAATAAGGGTATGAAAACAAAATAATGAAGTATATTTCTAGTTAATATTAGGCCTTGTTTACTTATAAATCTTTTGGATTTCCTAATATAGCACTCATCAACCACCGTCATCCTTGAGCTCAACGATCACTCTTGGAAATTGATATAAAAAGTAAAGAGTGAGTTACAGTAAGAATAATTAAATGAATTGAACCCCCTAAATTATGTTATTTATACTTGCGCCCTATTCTTAACTAAAGATACGGAAAGTGAAATCCCAATATCCTAAATACTGTAGACGGCACTTTCTAGGTGTTTCTTCTTAGGCGGTCGCAGAAAAGTGATCTTTATTGTGCAGATTTGTACAGGCTTAGCCTGTGTTACAAGAGTTATGAGGGAGTGAGAAAAGCATAGTGTTTCTTAAGAGTAACAGGGATGTATATATGTGTTTAATAATAGTGTGACCTAACTTAATGTAATATGTATGTACAACAGATGCTTAGGGATATGTATGTGTGTGTGTGTCTGCTTGCTACAATACTTACTATCGGACGACTATTTTGTTCATCTAAATTTTGATAACTTAGATTATAACTATTTTTTTTTCTTTATAAATATAAATTATATACTCTAAAAACAATATTAGAAAACTTTGAGAATTACTATGAATTATTGTGACACTTATTTGAATTATTAAAAGGTACACTTAATATTAAAATGATCGCCTAATTTCTTTATTTACTCGTCCCGAGTAGAGTATGTGCAGGTCAGTGTTAATATGAATTAAAACTAGAACTTTTATAAGGGTCATATTAATATTTAATATGATAAAGAAAGGGAGGGTAAAGAAATGGGATAACTAACATCTAATTCCCAGTCTGAAGAATGAAACACCACTTGGCTATAGTCGTTAGCCTATTACAGTTATTTTATTTGCCAACCCCGCAACTTTTAATAGCCATAAATTCGCCGTCATACGTGTACCTAAAATATTATGCTAATGGGATCGATTGGCATATAGGAGAGTAGAAAGACCCCAAGACAATCCGGCGAGCTAGTTTGAGCACAGCAAGAGGTACACTTCTCGAAATCCTGTCAATCGTCTGTGTCGTCTGAAATCAACAGCTTTTAGCTATTTCCCCTACAACATCTTCCTTTTTTTGACACAGGGAAACCACCCACATTACACATTTCGGCTATATCGGCGCACACTCCGATTCTTTTCTGTCTAAACATTAGGACCTCGACTTACGATTGACATTGACATCCGCTCCCGCTTTTCTTATGGCGAAGACTTCTGCCTGGAATATGCTGCAGTCGTTGGGAAGCTTATAAGACAGCCTTAATTCAGGGTCCGTACAGTATAAGCCCGCTCCTACTCCCCCTTCCAGCTTGGAGCCGTCTGTGTATATGTTGAGGTGTTGAGTCTGGTCCCAACCCGTTTTCCAGTCGTCTGGTCCCATGAGCGAGGTTGTTTTAACCTCCGCGCACGTTCTGGGGATCATGTAGTCCGTTTTGTTGATCATGCTTTGGCCGATTAAACTATGCCCGAATCTTTGCGTTGTCATGTTACCTGATGCAACTAGACGTTGTCCTGCCTTTCCTGTAGTCAGTTGAGCGTGAATATCTATGGGGTCGATTCCGAGGATCGTTTCTAGAGCTTTAGTAGGGGTTGACCTCAGCGCCCTCGTTATGCAGACCAGTGCCTGCCGCTGAGTTCTCGCCATAAGCTCGGTGTAAAACGTCTTTTCAGTGGCTTTCCACCATACAGCAGAGTCGGACGCACCACCGATAGGTATATCCAGTGCATCAGAGTATGTGACAGGCCCCATGTGCTGCTAAGCATCTTCTTGGATGCATATAGCGCCACGGTGGCCTTTTTCACCTTTTCCACTACATTGGGTCTCCATGCCAGCTTGCAGTCCAGTACTGTGCCGAGATATTTGACCTGTGTTTTCGGGGTCAGCCTGGTTGCGCCAATTTTCATGGGGGTCCATTTCGGTACCTTGTATCTCTTAGTACAAAAAATGAGGTCTGTCTTGTCCGCATTGATACTGAGTCCCACCTCATTCCATTATGGAGCTGAGGGTCGATGGACACACTATTGTTATAATTATGCTTATGTCGTCAGCATAAGCTTTTCTTTTTGGGGCTCTCCTCTCGAATCTCTTAATGAGGTCGTCGACCACCAACTTCCATAGGAGATGTGAGAGGACCCCACCTTGTGGTGTGCCTCAGTGAGCCCCCTTTACCATGGAAGCAGTTCCCCATTCTAAATGTATCCGCCTGCAGCTGAGCAGGTTTCTTATTCAGAGGCTCATTGCGGGTGCGTGCTGGTCGCCTCTAGGCAATCCATTATAGCATCAGTTGAATGCTACGAATATGTCTACGAATACTCCAAGCGCATATGTGTAGGGCTATCTCAGCGGTTACTACTAGCGAGTGCCGATTCCACAGATTTCCCTTTAGTGTAGGCGTGCTGGTTGTATGACATGAGTCTCATTACATCGTTACTGATGTATAGATCCAGCAGCTTTTCCAGTGTTATGAGTATGAAAGAGGTAAGGCTTATCGGCCTGTTATCCTTGGGGCTTGCGTGACTGCACTTTCCCGCTTTTGGGAGGAAGACACTCCAAGAGGTCCTCCATTAGATTGGGATATAGCCCGTGCTTAGACATACCGAGTATATAAAATAGCCATGTGGTGATCCTTTCCTTGGTCACCTGTAAAGTGGCTAGAAATATTCCATCTAGTCCTGTTGCCTTACAGCCCGCAAAGGAGTCTCTGGCCCAGTTGATTTTCCTAGGTGTTATTAGATCGTTCGGGGGGCGCTCTAACGCCAGTTGCTATGTCCTGATGCATGCTGGCGTCTAGGACTTCCGTGCATCCTGGGAAGTGCGATTGCATAAGTGCTGTTGGGGCTTCTTCACTGCCCTTAGTCCGTCGTCGCATTTTAGCAAGATCTGTATATTATGTTGCTTCGAAAGCAGCCCTCGGAGTCTGGCTGTTTCCGGGACGTTCTCGATGCTGGAGCAGAAGTTTCTCTACTAGCTATTCTGTGCCCTGCGTGATTCCTTCTTGTAATCCGTATGTAGGTTTTTGTATATATAACCTGTTAGGTACTGTTGGAAAAAAAATAAATAAAAATATAACAAAATGTTTAAAGATCGGCTGCTAAATATCTTTTTTTATACATCTATGTATTTATTTGACCTGGTTTTCAACAAATCTTTGTTCTGATACTGCTGAAACACATATAATTTGAACAGGTTTTTTACGTTTTGCTCCACCTTTTTAGTCAAAACAAGGAATAATGCTATAGTCGAGTACCTCGACTATCAGATACCCGTTACTCAGCTAAAGGGACCAAAGGAAAATGGAGATATGCAAGCAGGAAAGCGAGATTGAAATGCGCCACCTACCCGCGACCTTAATATATGGTTATGTGGGCGGTGGACAGATTTAAGCGTTAATACATTTCAGTTAAATATTTTTTTCTAGCATGAAAGTTGTGGTGGGCGCTAGAGTGGGTGTGGCACATTCGCGTAACAAACTTGCGCTGCGTACAGGGCTACGGAATCTAAATCTGAAATCCCAATTCTCTATCTTTGATAGTTTCCGAGAGATCCACGTTCATATTTACGATTTTTTTAAGCTTGTGGGCGATTTGTGGGCGTAAGAGTGGGCGTGTCACTCTGCTGAACAAACTTGCGCTGCGCAGGAAGCTCAGAAATCTGCATGCCGAGCCCCAATAGCCTAGCATTTATAGTTTCCGAGATCTCAGCGTTCATACGGAGAGACGGACATGATCTTGATCAAGAATAGATATACTTTATGGGGTCGGTAACGATTCCTTCTGCCTGTTACACACTTTCCGACGAATCTATTATACCCTTTTACTGTACGAGTAACGGGTATAAAAATACTTTGTTGGCACGATAGGAGAAATCGACATCAATTATTTGGTACTTTTGACGTGGAGACACATATGAGGTTTGACTAGCTCGTCACCTTACCCTACACTCCCCTAATTGCTTTCAAGTTGTCGTAGAGCTATTCCCTTAATATCTGGAAGCCAGTAACCCTACCAGCACTTGATTTCTTTTAAACTCATTTCATATAATTTGTGTTCAGATAATTCAATTTTTTTTTCAATCTTTTGCTTGGTATATCACTAAATTCTTTTTAAACCTAAAAATATCATGACATTTATACATCTACTGAAAGCATCTACTGCTACTTACTACTACTACTACTATTACTACTATTACTACTACTTCTACTACTACTACTACTTATATCGTCTGCTCGCTACGAGATTGGTCTTGGTGTCGCCAAGTGCTTACTCCAGTGGCTGCTGATAGCGCTCGCCTTGCCTCGACGACGCGTTGACTCGGTGATCGCTTAAGCCGTCCGTTATCAGAATAGGGTGAACAGGTGCCTCGCTCTTCAGGACAACACCTTTTGAAACACCGACCGCCTGTCCCTTGCTCTGTCCCGGATAGCCCCACTAGGGTTTCACTCAGTTCGCGCTAAAGGCTAATGGCAGGAAGCTACCGAGTAGTTCACTTAGCTCTACGCCTAGTGCAGACGGACGTTCTATTCTAGCCACACCCTATTGCTTGTCGTCCGTAACGATTCTACGCTACTCAATGAGTTCTCCGGTCGTAACGTGGCTGCCGGTGAGGTCCACTGAAGTTGTTGGATGTTGGTTGTATCGTTGATGTATCGTGCTCTCTGGCTTTTGAGGTCTTGGACGAACGCCGTTCCGTGACTTGCTTACCCTTTTGGCTTCCATGAGTTTTCACTTATGAAATCACTTGCAAGTGACACACCCCAAGTGAAATCACTTGTGAAAGTCAGAAGTTCTCCCATGAGTTTTCACTTATGAAAAAATAGAATTTAAATTTTAAATTTATTTTAATTAAATAGTTGTATTTAGGTTTTATGTTAAAGGAAAATTATTGTGATTGCTTTTTACATTGGTCATCGCCTTCCTTATACCTTTGTCCGGGTCCTCCGAATCCTTGGCCAACGCTCCTGAAAAAATTTATGGGCATATATTTAAAAAATGCGTTCTATTTGTTTATTTGCATATTTACCTTTTAGAGCTGTGTTTCACCCTTTGCAGGATTTTTATTGGCGCAAAACATTTAATCATCCACTTTCGGCTAACGGAAGCCATTGAACACCTTAATACTTTAAACTAAGATAAATGCAGAACATCTTAAACTTAATGTAACACTTACATGATTTTATTATTTTCACTTTAAAAAGCGAAAAAAGGAAATCTGCTGCACACAATTTAAATGGCTTGCTTCCCTTTCAATAACTCAAACTGAATGAACAAAGTCTTCTCACCCCTTTACTTGACTTCTTTTGTTTTCTCTTCGCTGTTGGTGCGTGCCACTGCATAGCCTTTCTAAAGCGAAAAATGTACGACTGTATAATTTTTACATCTTAAGTAAAATATACAATACGATTTTTTAATAATGGTAATATTAAAATGTTTTTAATATTTAAATCAATATTAACGGACTAAATTTCTAAAACTAAACTAAAAAATTATATTGTAATAAAATTGTATAATAAGTAAACAAAACATTATAAGTAAATTCAATTTACTTAATTTTATTGTTTTATTATTATTATTTTTCGATATAAAATAATGCTCCTAAAATATTAGGGCATTCACATGTCGCTGCGCCACGAACATTTTTCCGCCGAAATATTTGTCGCTAACGGAACATAACGGAGAGACGCAAAAGAAATTACGGATCGGCCGAAATTTGTCTCTGAGAGCGCCGAGTGCAGGCAGATTATGACAAAGAAAGAGAGGGAACTTCCGAATATCTGCCTCTCTTTGTTGCACGATCGTTTTCGTAGGCAGTCTTCTACGCTGCGCCGACCTCTCTGCTGACGTCAACAGCGGCATAGCGTTTTAGGCACAGAAAAAAAAACAAAAAAGCTTTTTGCCTTGAGCCATGTCACAACGTCACTACTGCAGAACTTAAGGGTAGGTATTGACGAGACCAATACATTTCAGTTAAAATGTTGTTTCTAGCATGATCAATCGATAGGTATTGACGAGACCAATACATTTCAGTTAAAAGTTTGTAACTAGCATAAAAATTGTGGGCGTCACAGGCTTGGGCGGTGTGAAGGCATATTTGCGTGACAAACTTGCGCTGCGTACAAGGCTACGAAATCTAAATCGGAGATCCCATTTCTCTATCTTTGATAGTTTCCGAGATATCCGCGTTCATATTTAGGATTTTTTGAAGTTTGTGGGCGGTTTGTGAGCGTGGCACATTTCTGAAACAAACTTCGCTGCGCAGGAAACTTAGGAATCTGTATGCCTAATGCCAGTATTGTAACTATTATAGTTTCTGAGATCTCAGCTTTCATACGGACAGACGGAAAGATCGACTCGGCTAGTGGTCCTGATCAAGAATATATACACTTTATGGGGTCGGAAACGCTTCCTTCTGCCTGTTATATACTTTTCGACGAATCAAGTATACCCTTTTACTTTTCGAGTAACGGGTATAATAAAAGTACAGATATCGGTCTATATTCACCATTTGTTTTTAGTATGGGAAGGTATTGCGTTGTAAAAAATGTGTGTTATGTATGGGAGTAGCCTTGGGACAAGTAAACATTTTGGATGTATATTACCGAGACCTATTGCATTTGATTTTATATTTAACATGGACTGTAGGACATCACGCTGACTCACACAAACAAAACTAAAGCTAGTATCACAATTTTTGTTTTGCAATGTGTTCAGGTACGGATTGTTAGTTTGACCAGGTACTTTATTAGCATTAATATGGCAAGCTGTCTCTTCTCGTTCTTTTTTTACTTTAATACTTTTAATATTCTTCCAAAAAAACTGGTACAGATACCTGGTCATATAGGAGGATTTTACTTGCGCCATCCACAAAAAATTCGTAAAGTAAGGCTTCTGAGGATTTTGAAAAACAGGTAGGGTGTGTGACATTTACTGGCTGAAGAGCCAGCCTCTCAACAATATCAGAGAGTGCTTTTAAAAAATGTAGACATACACCACACATACAATAACCCATTAAATAGTTGAACAATAGTTAGAATCAAAGGTAAAAGTTTATGATAGAGGGACTCTGTAATATATTAGTGTGATGGACGCCCAGAGATTGATTGCCAAGAACTCACCCCGTCCCGACTAACTGCTAACCCTAAGACGGGTGCCGCCGGCCTTCAAATTTTGGATAGAGCGGAAGTGCTAGGTGGAGCAAGTACAACGAATTCTAATAGGGTTCGCGATCAAGAATAGAAGCTGCCCATTACCTACACTACTACCTATTCGGAAAATACCCCCTAGAACGCTGCACACACGGCCACCATTACAGTGCCGACATATCACTGTTAATAGCGTCCAGCGTAACAGAAGTTTTGGTCGTGATGCGAAACTCCAACTCAGCAAATTTCTGACACATTTTTACCCAAAGCCCATCTGCTGAAGGACTTAACTCAGTGGAAGCTTTGTCCCTGGTTCTCTTTGCTGACGGTCGTGGCATATTTAGGAAGTAAGAACTTAAAAATGGTTATATTTGACGAAAATAAGCAATCTGCTACAGCAAGAACTCTTTTAACAGTCACACTTCAGCGGTGGTGTGATCGTGCAGTGTAAATGGCGACAACAGCTGACCTGGTCGTCTTCTTGTTCTTGGCTTTGTAGTGTTACGCTTTCTGGACTCAAGAGAGTTTTCCGCCTTTTGTCGTTGTCCACCGTTCTTGCGACGCCTTGAGTGGTATACCCAAGTCAGCAACAACACGGGATAAACTTCAGCACGTGCAGGCTCCGTCGCGACTTGTTGACATTAATTAATGCCCGTAACAGTAGCGGGAAAATTATAGTTATGACTGTTGGGCGCGGGTGGCTTGTATCGACTAAGTGGAACTTATATATAACAAGAAAAATAGCAAAAATCGGCAAGCAGGTCGTTCCCGGGGGAGCATTGTATGTACAGAACGATGTTTAGAAAACTAAAAACTAATAATACAAATTTTAAGATACTGCATCATTTCAGTTGACTACCGTGTATTTTTACCGAAAACTATGTATTGTTTTGACATTAATTATGCGATCATTCATATGGCAGCTATATGATGGAGTCGTGTGATTTGATTTAGGTTGTATTCAAATTTCTGTAATATTAAAAGAATTATATTCCCAAGAGTAGAAGTTTATACGTCACAAAAAACAGAAGTTATCATTTTTTATACATTTGTAAAGAAATATTTATTTGATCATTCCTATGGGATTTTTAGGATATTAATATGTCCTTTATTGTTTAGATTAATTCATTTTGTGGTCTTCGCATTATGAACAAAATTAAGAGTCAAAGTAAAATTAGAGATGGGGATAAAAGAACGATAGTCAACAAGATAACGACATCGCCACACTCAATCCACAGGGTGACATGGTCCAACGAATAGGGCTGTCATTCTTTTAAACATAACATTTCTTCCCCTCTCAGGGTGTTAAGGAAAATATTACTCTGGTGGTGCCGACTGAGGAGTATCCTGTCTACCGGACTCCTTCCTTTGTTCTTCATCGTAGGGTGCCGTCTCTCTGCCCTGGAACAAATCGTCGGAATGTATGTTTCCATTGCGTTGCACTATTGGGAATTTGCCCACTTTTTGTGGCATTAATTAATAACTTAAGAACAAAGCAACATTTAAAAGTTTTGTTTTTAGAATTAAGTATATAAAATTTAATGGAAGTAAATTAAAAAAAGATGGGCGTGGTCCCGCCTTTTTTTTAAGAAAAAAATTTTTTTTCTTGTAAATCAAATAAAAACTTTTTTTTTCTTGAATTTTTTTTTTAAAGACCAAACTGATTTAAAAAAAAAATGTTGGCGTTTTTTATTTCCCATTTTTTTTAGTGAAATTGTAATTTTTTGTATTGTTATCACTATAATTCTTAACAAAAATACTAAAATCCTATATATCAACGTAAAGTAAGTGAAATGATGTTGTAAAATAATTTTAAAATAATCGTTATTTAATAAGAAATATAGCTGCACACTGTTTTTCTTAAGATAACATCGAAACTGGCATTTACCAGACAAAAATTAGAGAAATATAGTATATTAGGTAGAGGTCTTTAAAGCTAAATTTTATAGAAAGTGCGCAAAAGTGCACTTTGATACTAACCGAGCTCAATGAGAATTAAATACTCTACAAGATAAGAAAGGTTTCAGAGGTGGAAACAGCTGGAATCACTTTGTAGCTCTTTTTAAAAATACAAATTAACTTAAGGATTTTGTTTTTTTGAGGTTAGAACTAGAACACGAATATACGAGCACCACAATCAATAAACACAATATTAAGGTCACAAACACAAGTTACAAGTCCCTCCGATCAACGCGTTGATTGTCCGTTCGTCCTGCTTGTCCGTTCGTTCCAGTTTTGGTAAAGAAATCGTTGAACTCTTCGGACTTAAAATGCGTTCCCTTATCGGAAACTACCATCTGGGGTACTCAAAACTTCGCAATAGATCATCCAGTAAGGCGCTGGTAGCTGATGCTGTGATTGGTTTCGTAACTGCCAGTTCTAGCCATTTGAAGTAAGCGTCAGTGAATATTAATAACATCTTCCCCTGAAAAGGGCCAGCATATTCGATATGCTTGCGTACCCAGGTTGCTATCGGATATTCCCAGTGATGCTGAGAGTATTTCCGCGGAAAATTAGCATTTTTTGCGCAACCCTCACAAAATTTGGCTATGTTTTTAATATCCTTATCAACCCCTGGCCAATATGTAAACGAACGAGCACCATGAAGTTCTTCTATTACCAACTTCCTCAGTTTGGTCGGGACTACCTCTCTCGAAAATTAGACGGCCAGATGAGATTTGGTAGTGCTGTTCTGGAGCCCTACATCCTGCTCACCTCAGGCACTGGCCGCCTGATTTCAAAGAGTTTAAGGCGGACCTTGATAATAAAAATATGTATAGCTGATTTTGCGCCTTATATGTAAATTTCCGCAATCACCAACTGCTATTTATTTATAGCGCTCACTGCATTTAAGGCCTTATGACTGTTGCTCCGCCAATGCACCGCAGCCGCAAGAACGAAAAAGTCAATAAATAGACTTTT